CTCAAATCCCCAACAATAAACCCAACACACATCAACCTCCCACCAACCACCCCGACGATACAAATCCACAACCACCCAACCCCAATCACCACCTTAATACGAATACACCCATATGCCCCACACCCAACCACAATCACCACGTCAATACCAATACCCCCATATTCCCCACACCCAACCCCAATCTCAATCGCAATACCAACACACCCATATTCCCCACACACAATTTCGGTCTTCTCCATATCCCAATATGGCTCCCTTATCATCTCACCTTAGCCTTGATCTAGGATTTTCCGAAGAATATGATCCAACCGACCCAACTTACCGTCAACCACAATATCACCGTAGCACCCAACAATCGCAATACCAAACACTCCAAGATTCATTTCCTTTTTACCCTCTTACTCAGACAACCTGTGCTATAGACCATCCATGAAACCCCACCCTCCACCAAGACGACCAAACTTTGAGGGCATGGGTAACCGATTGTACCAAAGCGGATCTTCCAGATATGGTGATCTGACCGATTTCATGGATCCTGAACGCATTGACTTCGTTGGGCCATCGACCCAACTGCAGCAGGAAAATCGACGAAATCCACCACGAGATAGGTGAGAACGCGGATGCAGAACCGCGGGTCATTATCGAGTTCCGTGGGACCACTAATTAATACGTATGGTTTTTTTTTCATTTTGTAATTGTTTTTTGTTAATGAAAAGTCGAAGTTTCGTGAAGCTATATCGTTTACCTATTGTCTCATATTTAAAATAGAAAGCAAAAATAAATTGCACTTCAATTGCACCGAGGCGCCATCTGAGATGACTTATGACAAACATGTTGCACCTAGGCGTCATCTCACTTGGCGCCTCCTCCTTAATTTTAGGTGTATGCGCCAACTCAGTTAGCTCCTCCATTGTGGAGTTTTCTGTAACATGATTATTTGCGTAATTTTCTCCAAAACATGGTTATTTATGTATTTTTTTAATACTTGATTATTGCTGGAAAAAACTCGAAAACTTCAGAAAAGAAAATAACCAAAATCTAAACCTTTAAATCAAATTTTAACCTCAATTTGTGCAAAATCCTCTATCATATATTTTGATAAACTCTCGATATATTTTGATTTTAAAGAGATTAAAACTCTTGAGAGAAATATTGCATGGACTAAAAGTTGGAAAAATGTTTTATCATAATTAAAAAAGAAATTATACTTTTATAAAAACTAACCAAGTTTTTATTTTTTTTCTTACAATTAACTAACTATATGTTTAACCCTATATATAAACATATATAATTATGTAAAAACTGCTTTTATTTTATTTTATTTATTTACACAATAAAAATATATATTTTACAACAGCATAATTATAATATCTCTTATAATATCAACCTCTACTCATAATTAATTTAAAAGTTAATCTTTAATTAAAAAATGATATTAACAATGTATCAATATAAAAGTATTTTTGAATTATTATTATAATGCTCAATTTGTGCACAATTCTCTATTATATATATATATATATATATATATATATATATATATATATATATATATATATATATATATATATATATATATATATATATATATATATATATATATATATATATATATATATATATATATATATATATATATATATATATATATATATATATATATATATATATATATATATATATATATATATATATATATATATATATATATATATATATATATATATAATTATTAAAAAACATAAGTTGATGTTGTGGTAAATTTATAATTTTTTAACCTTCAAATATTGAGTTTAAGACTCTGTATTTTTTTTTTGGGAGCATGGAGGGTCGAAGCCTCGAAAACAGAACAACTACAACTGACAAAGACTTTGTATTAGTGTCATTTATTTCGGTGAAAAAATATTAAATTATAAAAAAAAGTATTTAAATGTGTTTGTATATTATATAAAAGTTGTGTGACAATTAGGACTGACAAAATGGGCCGCCAATCCCACCCCGTTTTTAGCCAGTTAAACAAGGAACGGGACGAGCAAGCTCGTCAAGGAAAATTAGGCTTAAAAATCTAATCCTCACCGTTAAGGTGACGGGTTGGATAGCGACGGGCTTGCCCGTCTATTTTTTTAATTTAAATTAATAGATTTTTTTTACATTTAAATTAGATTTTTCAATTATTTATTTTTTAAATAATTTTTTAAAATATGCTTCATGTTTGTGCTTAATTATGTTTGGATTGGATACTTTATATTCATATCCATTCTAACTTAAACATTTGCGATAGATTTATGAATTCCTTTCTCTATGCAAAATATTCCATATGCATGATATGCCATATTAATATGCTTTTTGAATAACTAATGATTTGTTTGTTTATTGTAATGATTTTTCATCAAATCCTGTTATTTGTGTAAAGCATCGGTTATTGACTAAAACTTATAAAAGGATGTTATATTATAATGTGAAATGTTTAATTATATATAAATAACCTTTTCTTTAATCTTACTATGTTTCATACGCATAAGACCATTTACAATGGTTGAAAAACTCAACACCCACTTTTTCAACTCCCAACACTCCACATCATTTTCTCTTTCTTCCACCTAATAACTCAACACTCATTCAACTTTTACCCTCTCCAATGGTTTTTCACTCAACACCCTACCCCACCACTTTTTATTTTCATATTCTTATTTTTATTTTATTTTTATTTTTATGATTACATAAAATTACAATTATCGATTAAAATTAAATTAAAATAATAAATACTTAATAATTTATTTTTTAATTTTTTGTAATAAAAACAAAATTTATTTAAATAATTGGATACGATACAAATCATCTTAAATTAATTTAAAATACAACACACAATTAACGTAATTAGTACGTTACAAATAATTTAAAATGCAATACAACACACAAGTAACGTAAAATGATTATTGGGAACCATTTCACTAAAATGATTATTGGGATCCATTTCACTAAAAAAAGACACTTAACTTCAAAATAAACACTAATAATAAAATTAAGATAGTGAAAAACTTAGTTTTTTTTTTCTGTGTCCAAATCAAATGAACCAAGTCTCTATTTATAGAGAAAAAAAAATCATGAATTTTGGTAAAAAAAAAAAAATTTAATTTGCAACGAAATAATTGAGTTCAAAGTATTAAATGGATAAAAATCTGGTCAGCCAATCAAGCACAACCACGTGGCAGCTTCAATTGTGTTGAGTTTTCTCAACACCTCTCTCTTCCAACACACACTCAACACCTCTCTCAACACCCATTGGAGGAGATTTTGCATGTTGAGTTCAAACTCAACATACCCATTGCACATGGTCTAAGATTTGTGCGCCTGCATTCATTAGCGGTAAATAATAGAACACACTTTATAATGGTTAGTTTAATGGTTCTTAATTGTAAAAATAAGTTTTTTATGGATTGAAAGATGAAGGGAGATGCTAGACGGCAGTGGCATAGTTATGTAACACAAAACGGGCAGTGGCCCGCGGGCTAGGCTAAGGCGGGCGCACATGGAGGGCTACGGCGAGAAGGAGGGCCCAAAATCCTAACCTAACCCGTTATTTTTTGGTTGGTGCGCGGGCTGGCATGACAGGAAACGACATGTTTTGCAATCCCTAGTAGAAACTCCATGTCATTAAATTTGGTGAATGAGTTTGTGTTTTTTTCTGGGAGTTTAAAAAAATGGCCAATTTGATGGTGACAAAATATGTATTAACTCTATATAAATTATACTTTATAAAGTATGATAGTATTACTATAAATTAGTCTCGATGCATTTTTAATTTAAAAGAAGAAAAAATCCAAAGAGGAGAATGTTTTTGGCAGGAGAAATCTCGAGTTTTTTGGCATCTGGAAGGGGATAGTGACACATCTTTTTTCATAGGAAGGTCAAATTCAAAGGTTTAAGAACCTGGTCACTTTGCTCAAGGATGGAGATTGTGTAATAATTTATCCTAACGGCACTTCAATCCATGTTGTAACTTATTTCAGTAATATTTTCTCTCATGTAGATGCAAGTCAAGATTCATCAATAAATGAGGAGGAAATTCCTATTTTGATGACTGGTAATATGAACAACCTATTAAAATCTACCCCTTTCATAGAAGAGATTCATGATGTAGTGTTCAATCTGAATAAGGACAATTTACTTGACCCTGATGGCTTTGTGTGGAATATGGCTCATAACATTGGGATAATTATGGGTTGGTTAGATAAATATGGATTATTGAGAGTATAACTCAAATTATAGAGATAATTATGGGTTATTGATAGGTTGTTGAGAGTATAGTGCATACCTTTGAGACAATTATGGATAGAGATAATTGTTTGTTGAGGGAAACTAGGGATTAAGATTTTAGATAAACTACATTCAAATTGGAAAAATCATTAAAACAAATAAGTGATACCATATGATACTGTGACTCCACTTTCACCCCCCTCCCCTTTTTCGATGTATGGAAATTTGGAGATATTGTTGTTGATCAATTGTTCAAAGCGTTATGTGTAATTTGATGGATGAAATGAATCTGGTGAACTAGTGTACATTTTTTCGCTTGTGTTGTAAAAGTTGAAACCCCCTGCATTAAACACTTAATGCGCATGAATATTGACAATATCTCGATACCTTCTACCCCTTTGACAAATATAAAAAAAGAGAGAAAAGTTAGAGAGAAAGAACACACAAATAGCTTAATCCAAGATATAATAAAAGCTAAAAATATAATGTCATATTTAGTGAACTAAACAAACACCATATAAATCTCATACGAAACTAATTATTGCAAATACACAATTTAATAAAGATACCAAGAAAACTAACATATATAGAATCACATAGATATCATACATACGTGACTAAAAAGACTTGCCACATGATACATAATCCAAAATATAGTCAAAGATAACAAAATAACCAGCCAACCAAAATGACATAAATATCTAGATAATGCTAATGTTATGCATGAAAAACTAAAATAAGAATCATGGAATGTCAGTTGCATCATCAGAAGATGGTACAACAATAGTGACATCTGAAATGGGAAGAGTGGTGTATGTATCAATATCAAAAGGACCAATATCAAGGATAACATTAGTTCTACCTAGGTAGTCAACAACAATTCTAACAGACTCTACTTGAGGAGTCACTCGAGCTTCAGAAGCTCGTATCTCAGCCTTTATCTCAACCTTCAAATCACTCTTCAGCTCTACCCAACTTTCTTCACTTTCTTTGGCTAGATTGTCAATTTTTTCCATGATATACTCTTCCCTAACCTGGTTGTCAGCCAAAATCCTTTTGACCAACCCATAAAGATAGGATTTCAAATCAGTAGATAGAAAACCATAAGAGGATCTAATAGGCTCATTAGAGGGATCCTTTGTCGGATCCTTTTCATCATAAACATTTCGGTCAGATTCCTCAAGGTAGTAATAGTCACCATCAAAGTCTCTGTAGTACCTCATTTTAGAAACTCCACAGTAATCCAAAACTTTAGGAACCTTGGTTAAGTCTTCTTATTTGGAAAAAATCCAATTAACCTCAAGGATCGATTACACAAAAGAAGATAAAAACAATGGTCTTTTTGGATTATCCCTACAATGAATCTTCTGGTCAACAATAAACTTCACCTTATCAAATCCACTATCTAGAAGAAGCGCCCACATCAAGTAGAGGTCATTGTCATCAGATCTCTTAGGTTTCTTGTAAAATATCTTGATAATAATCCAATGTAGAATCCATGTTATCCCTGTTGTTGTGCTCCGAGGCCCATGCGAAGGCTTTGATTGCATTCCTCAAAACTGCGCATGTGTCGCAAGAGACTTCTGCTGATCAGTTCAAAGACTGTGTGGCCAGCCTGACTGCTGATAATGGGCTGGGTTTTTCAGATGCGGATTTGACACTAAAAGGAAGGAAGCATAATGATGCTCTGCATGTCTCGATTGAATGCAGGGGGAACCACTATGGCTCATGTACTGGTGGATATTGGGTCTTCACTAAATGTTCTGACAAATAAGATGTTGGACCGGTTGGATTGCGAGGGTTTGACTCTAAAGCCTAGTAACATTGTGGTAAGGGCTTTTGACGGATCGGAGAGAATGGTGCACGGGGAGGTGGACATCCCTGTCAAAGTAGGTTCTCAGAATTTTGGGTCCACTTTCTATGTGATGGATATCAGGCCATCATATTCTTACTTGTTGGATCGTCCTTGGTACCACGAGGCTGGGGCAGTCACCTCCATACTCCACCAAATGCTGAAGTATCCTGTGAAAGGAAAGATTGTCATAGTGCGGGGTGAGGAAGAATATATGCTGAGTCACCTCAACTCCTTCTGCTACGTAGAGATGGACGGGGAATTCATAGAAACTCCTTGTCAGAATTTTGAAGAGGTCCCTCAGATCTTGGCATCGACTGAAACTGATAGCAAGAAACCTCCTTTGAAGATGGCTTCTCTCAAGGACGCCAGGGCTGTGGTTGAAGAAGGTAGGTGTGCCAATTAGGGCCAGCTCCCTGATTTCACTCATAAAACTGATAAATTTGGTTTGGGCTTTACTACAGGGGCTCAAAGGGCTGTTAGACGCGCTCGGGCTGGAGGACCTCCCCTGCGCATCAGCAATCGTGGGATTAACGCCATTGAAGATAGTTAAGAGGAATCATACATTTACAACTGGATCTACCCAACTACCAATGATGGACCGAGTAACTGGACGGCTAGGGACTTCATACCTGTTTCTTTTATTCTACAGTAATTGACCTATTTGTTTTAAGATTTGTAATAAACAATTTGAAACTTTACGGCCCGGTGCCTTGCCCGAAGCATCTTGGCTTTGCTTGTGAGGGCTATTATTTGTCATTTCATAATCATTAATAAAGCATTGGACGTTTCTTGTATACAAATTTTGCGCTCTCTGTTTTTCTTTCCTGCTTTCACTTTATCAAAACAGCTATTCTCTTACACACACTCACATATCATAATGCAGATCCATATCCACTTTGGATCCCATTGATAACAGCTCTGGTATTGCCAGTTATTACTTCGAAAATCCGATCAACCAAGCCGAAGACGAAGGTGAGGATGATTGTGAGGTGCCTGGAGAACTTGCTAGACTATTACAGCAGGAAGAAAGGGCCATACAGCCTCATGAAGAGCCGGTTGAGACAGTGGACTTGGGTACTAAGGAAGATAAAAAAGAGGTTAAAATAGGTGTAAATCTAGAGCTTAGCGTCAAACAGAGGTTGATACAGATGTTGCACGACTATGCTGAAATCTTTGCCTGGTCCTATGAAGACATGCCTGGTTTAGACACTGATATTGTGGTACATCGCTTGCCGACTAAAGAAGACTGTCCTCCGGTTAAGAAGAAGGTCCGCCGTATGCGTCTTGAAATGTCAGAGAAAATCAAGGCAGAGGTCATGAAATAGTTCGATGCAGGATTCTTAGTTGTCACTTCGTATCCACAGTGGGTTGCTAACGTTGTCCTGGTACCTAAGAAGGAAGGTAAGGTATGGATATGTGTTGATTACAGAGATCTGAACAAGGCAAGCCCCAAGGATGACTTCCCAATTCCTCACATCGATGTTCTGGTCGACAATACCGTGCAACATAAAATCTTCTCCTTCATGGATGGTTTCTCTGGCTACAACCAAATCAAGATGGCTCCTGAAGACATGGAGAAGACAACCTTCATTAAACAGTGGGGCACCTTCTGCTACAAGAAGATGCCTTTTGGGTTGAAGAATGCTGGGGCAACTTATCAGCACACTATGGTCACTTTGTTCCATGACATGATTCACCATGAGATCGAAGTTTATGTTGATGATATGATATCCAGGTCTCAGACGAAGGAAGAGCACCTTGATCATCTCCAAAAATTATTTGACAGATTGAAGACATATAAGCTGAGGTTGAATCCGAACAAGTGTACCTTCGGGGTAAGATCTGGTAAGCTTCTGGGATTTGTCGTCAGCGATAAGGGTATTCAGGTAGACCCTGCGAAGGTAAAGGCTATATGAGAGATTTCGGTTCCCCGCACAGAGAAGGAAGTTAGAGGTTTTTTGGGACGCCTGAATTACATCGCCAGGTTCATTTCACACTTGACTGCTACTTGTGAGCCAATCTTCAAGCTCCTGAAGAAAGATCAAGTGGTAAACTGGAATGATGAATGCCAGACCGATTTTGAAAGAATCAAGGAATACCTTCAAGAACCACCAATTCTGATGCCTCCAGTTGAAGGAAGACCTTTGATATTATACTTGACAGTGCTAGACAATTCAATGGGGTGTGTGCTGGGGTAGCATGACGAGTCTGGTCGAAAAGAGCGTGCCATTTATTACCTTAGCAAAAGTTTTACCTACTGTGAGACACGATACTCATTGCTCGAGAAAACTTGTTGCGCTTTGGCATGGGCTGCTCGCCGACAGAGATAGTATATGCTGACTCACACTACCTTATTGATATCAAAGATGGATCCGATCAAGTATATTTTCGAGAAGCCCGCTCTCTTCGGAAGGATAGCAAGGTGGCAAATGATCTTAACCAAATACGACATACAATATACAACCTAAAAAGCAATTAAGGGAAGTGTATTGGCTGATCATTTGGCTCATCAAGCCGTGGATGATTACCAGTCCATGAATTTTGAGTTTCCGGATAAGAATATTATGTTAGTGACTGACTACGAAGAACTTGGACCGGATGAAGGACCCGAGGAGGGATCCCGATGGTCTATGTATTTTGATGGAGCCTCGAACGCACTGGATAACGGCATTGGCACTGTAATCATATCTCCCGAGGGCTGTCATACTCCGTTCACCGCCCGGTTATGTTTCAACTGCACCAACAACATGGCGGAGTATGAAGCATGTATCATGGGTCTTCGAGCTGCTATTGACCTGAGGATTAAGTTATTAAGTGTATTCGGGGATTCCGATCTGGTGATCAGTCAGATTAAGGGCGAGTGGGATACGAAACACCCGAATCTCATTCCTTACAAAGAGTATGTACTGACATTGCTCCCACACTTTGAGGAGGTAACCTTTGAACATTTCCCACGAGAAGAGAACCAGTTGGCGGACGCGCTAGCTACCATGTCTTCTATGTTCAAGGTTAGGTGGGACAATGAGGCTCCCCAAATTACCATTGAGAGGTTGGATGAACCAGCACACTGCTGTGAAATCGATACTGAAGAAGGGGCAGACAAACCCTAGTTTCACGAAGTCAAAAGGTACCTCGAGGCTCAGAAGTATCCTGAAGGGGCATCTGTCAATGATAAGAAGTTTTTGAGAAGGTTCACTGCAAAGTTCTTCCTCAGTAATGGGATCCTCTATAAATGCAACTATGACTCCACACTACTATGGTGTGTAAACAAGAGTGAAGCAGAGAAGATCATGACAGATCTACATGAAGTCACCTTCGGAACCCATTCCAATGGACACACCATGGCTAAGAAGATCCTACGGGCAGGATATTACTGGTCCACCATGGAAGCCGATTGTTATCAGCACTGTCGAACTTGTCATAAATGCCAAATTTATGCTGATAAGGTGCATGTACCACCGGTTCCTCTGAATATCTTGACAGCTCCTTGGCCTTTTGCAATGTGGGGTATCGACATGATCGGAGAGATCAGAACCACCGCTTCCAATGGACATCGTTTCATCTTAGTGGCCATTGATTATTTCACAAAGTGGGTTGAGGAAGCCTCTTTTTCTACAGTAACCAAGAATGTCGTGGTGCGGTTTATCCGACACAATCTGATATGTCGATATGGTGTACCAGAGAGAATTATTACTGACAATGGTACGAATCTCAACAACACAATGATCACCGAGCTTTGTAAACAGTTCAAGATACAACATCATAATTCTTCTCCCTACCGGCCGAAGATGAATGGCGCTGTTGAAGAAGCTAACAAAAACATCAAGAAGATTGTACAAAAGATGACGGTGACATATAAAGACTGACATGAGATGTTACCATTCGCTCTTCATGGGTACCGTACCTCATCACGGACGTCGACAGGGGCAACACCCTAATCTCTGGTATATGGCACGGAGGCAATCCTACCCATAGAAGTCCAGATACCGTCTCTCAGGATTATGAAGGATGCGGGTTTGAACGAAGATGATTGGATCCAAACCCGACTTGATAAGCTAAATCTAATCAATGAAAAGAGACTTACTGCTATCTGCCATGGTCAGACGTATCAAAAGCGAATGATCAAGGATTTTAACAAGAAAGTCAGGCGTCAGGAATATCAAGTCGGAGATCCGGTGATCAAACGCATCATACTGCCGCAAGGTGATCCCAGGGGCAAATGGGCTCCCACGTACGAAGGGCCATTTGTGGTTAAGATTATTTTCTCAGGAGGAGCTATAATTCTAACCACCATGGATGGTGACGACCTTCCTCACCCCGTCAATGCAGACATAGTGAAAAGATATTACGCATGACCAAAGACCCGCT